GTACAACCCTTATACATTAGGGATGGAAGATCTAAACCACATCGACCTTCTAAATGGAGACATTATTTTCAGTTTTCTTAGATTCTTGAAACATTGAGTTCTAATATAATCTGATTTTGCATCTACATGACTTAGTGTAGCATTCCAGATGTAATCAAAATGCCTAAATACACTATGATTTATGAGGGTATGAGTTGACAGAGAATATTACTTTTAATTCTTGTTGCTTTTAGCTTAAAATGACCACTAACCAATCACTGATATGAACAGACAGCAACCCGTTGAATATATATTACTTTTATTTACATATAAATCTCCTCAGAAAAACATTTTGAGAATCACAGATTGAGTATGCTTATAGACACTGATTTCATGTTATTAGAACTATAATTATCAATTTTCCAAAATTTTCTAACTTTAGATGATTGATAAGGCACTTGAGATGTGGTTTTCATTTAGATTTTAGTAAGCATAAAAGTTTTTACATTGATTCTCACACGAAGTATTTTTTCTTCTTAAATTATAAGGCAAAATAACAAACATTACTAGAAGAGTATGTAATGATGAAGGTATGATGAATGGAAGAGGAAGAAGAAAGAAAATTTGAAAAAAGTTTTTCAGTCTGAACTACTAGAGAAAATTTGTAGAGGAAAAAGTATTACAAAACATAAACATTTATCCATAACTGAGACATATTCACTCATAGCCTTGTGATAATAATTTCATTTCCCCCCCACCATTACTAAACCTCCTGAGAGTTGTCCAAGGATTCTAAAACTAGGCAGGAAGGTATAATGGTAATAATTTCTGTAGAGAAGTCAAAAACAGAGCTGAATGGCCAACCCTTCCTTATGTTTGCACAGTCAAGGTGTTTTTAGTGTAATTAAATTCTTCTCAAATATTAATTAGCAACTGAATCAGGAGTGTAAAATTACTTAATGAAAGGTTTGATATGACATAGAAGCTCAGTAAATATTAGTTTCATTAGTTCTCAATATCTAAAATCATTAAGCTCAATTAGCTTATTCTTACAAAGCAAATGGAGATTGGATGTTAAAAAGTTTGATGGTTTACCTAAAATTCTGCATATAATATATTTCAATCCAATCTTTAAATTAAGATTTCTGATATTTAATAACAGTTCTTTAATCATTAATAATATGATTTATGTATGTCAATTATATACATGAATTAAATTGCCATGTTTATAGCCTACATAAAAACTAATCATGTAAAAGTCTTAATTACTTAATATATGCCGCCAAAAGGAAATTTTAAATGGTGCATGTATTATGTAATAATTTAGGTATAGGTATGAATATTCTCACTTTCATTTGATGGAAGCAAACCATAAGTACAGATATCATTTTTAAGAACTTACCAAGTGAACTTTTTTTTTTACTTGTATAGAGATGACATTTAGGCCCAAGAAAATATCAGTAATTAACATTACTCATAACTTAGATTAAAATGACCTATATTAAATACTGAAAATGATTAAAATCAATGTGTATGAAATTCGATTTTATAAACTTTTTAAAATCTCTTATTAAATCTCTTTAAATGCATCCGGAGATTAAACACAGATTACATAAAATGATATCTTATTGAATAATAGTTCTTTTCTAAAAAGCTCAAGGAAGGATTATAAGAGTCTCATCACAGTAGTTAAAATTAATGTGTATATAAATATTAAAATGTTCCAATAATCAATAGAGCAATATGTTAAAATCAATCTTAATGCTTGATATAAACTACCTGAATGTCACTTGTCCTTTTAATGAAGCTGTACAAAGTAGAAAACCAATGATTATAAAAATATTACAAATAAAAATAATCTATCACTGTGTAAGCCATAACATATTCTAACCCTGGGATATTGGCCACATGTTTATTTCTTTGGGGAGGACTGAAGAAATGGTTTTACCTTCCTTTTTCTTGATGTCTATTTATGGTGGCTTATAGCCAACTTGAAGTCAGGAGACACTTTATATACATTTATTATCAGAAACAAACAAATAAATATTATTAGCTGATACAAGTGAAAGAAAGGACAATTTGTGAAATAGTGAATGAATCATAGAAAACACTTAAAGTGAACTTGAAGGTGGGATATCTGAAGTCAAGACTCAAATGATCAGATATTGGCACCTATGATGTATGAAACAACGCACTTGACAATTTGCAGAAGGAATGATTTTGCAGTTTTGCCATGTAGGATGTAATAGAACATCTTCCTAAAAGGCCTTTGAAAAATTCATACTATTGCCTTTACCCACTTTCCCAAAGTTGTCTGCTGAAAATAGATATTCCTTCTATTACATTTCAACATGCACTAAAACCAATCTATAGATGTAAAGCTCTATACTGCATGAGGCTTCCATTCTTGAACACTATCTAATTTGGAATATTCCTTTTTGTCTTTGCCTTCTGTAGTTGTGATTCATTACCTATCTCTGAGCTCTAGAAATTAGATGAAACAAGACAAATCACGCTGTCTCCATATTTTTTTTTTCAGCCTAACAATTTTTCAGCTTTCTTCAACCTATTGCAAATGTTACTTTCCTGAGTTCCTGGAACTTCTGGGTTACCTGTTTCTAGAAAAGATAACTCATGTCAAATTTTATATTAAAATAAATCTGTACCTCAAACCATACAGAGGTAGAACAGGAGTGAAATTATCACTTTGTTCTGGAAAATATTCTGTTATATTCAGTAAACATTATTGCAGGCTGAGAAGTGGCAAGAGCTAAGAGAAATAGATTTTTCAAATTATTAATCATTTTTAAAAACAGATTAATAATTATTAATTACTGAAAAAACTGATAAGAATGGTAAAGAGGCACAGAGAACATGCACTCTTTAGAGAGGAGAGAACTAGAGTTTGAGTTAGGCCTTGAAAAAATGAGAAATGTTATAAAGGATGGGGAAAAGTTTACCTTCTGGGTGAAAGACTAGCAACTTGAAAAAAAAAAAAAAAGGCCGAGCCTGTTGGGAGAGTGGTGGTATCAATTGGGAGTTGGGAGAGTGGTGGTATTAATTCAGAATGGCTGATATTATACTGTACAGAAAACAAGGAGGCCATACAGACAACTGGAATCCAATTGTGAAGAGCCCTGAGTGCCAGAATGAAAAGGGTATATGTTTAAACATTGTGAAGCAGAATTTTGAGGAGAGCAATAATCCTGGTTTTGTTTGGTGACACATGGTTTAATGATATTAAATTTAATTTTAACACAATTTGTTACCAAATATTGTATTCCTAATTCCTCATTTGTATGGTGTCCTATAACACTTAGATGAAGAAAGCAACACAATCACGATGAGCTTCATCTTTTTAAGGAAATCCATTATTACAACCTGGCAAGTACTGTGAGTAACCTAACATCATTTTCCCAGCTCTCCTCCTTAGATTGGAGGCAGTCATTGACTTGGTAAATCACTGTCCTAAAATATGTACCAATGTATTTTCTTCATCTTTTATCTAAAATAAATGGAAAACAATAGCACTACACTTTTTTTTGCAGGTTACATATCAGAAGAATGTACTGCTACCATTGGCAGAAGGAAACGATAACATGAGATTGAAGTCAGGCCCTGCTCCCGAGGAACTGTGAGGGTGGGCAAACACTTTCTACTCCGTGAAAATTCAGCCTTCATTTGTAGATGGGAGGAGGTCTGCAGACCAAATTGGCATCATTATTGAGAATCTCTAACTTTACTCCAATCAGCCTTCCATGTTCATGGAGTTGGCATCCTCAGATGCATCTGACCACAGATAAAAAAAAAATATTCAAAAAATTATGTCTTTACTTAACATATACAGACGTTTTCTTGTCATTATTCCCTGAAATATATAGTATAAAAACTATTTTTCATAGCATTCACATTGTATAGGTATTATAATTAATCTAGAAAAGATTTAAACTGTACAAGAGTATGTGCATGGGTTATATGCAAATATTGTGCCTTGTGCCTTCATATATAAAGAACTTAAGCATTCATAAACTTTTGTTAAAGATCTGGAATCCTAAAAACAGTTTTCCAGAGATATCAAACACCTGATACTGTATGTGTTTTCTTAGCTGATATTGGCATAAGACAGGCACTTAAGTAAAAATAGCTTTTATGTTTATATATTTTGTCTATTAGAGTTATTAGCAATAATTAGGTTTCCTTTTTAAAATATTTTGTGGCTATGTTAACCTACACTTGAAAAAAAATAGCTGAAATATTACTGTCATTTTAAATAATGAATTCGATCCTTTGCTCTCAACACACTGTTGGGGAGGTATGATATTAGCTGAAGAGGAAAATCTTGTTAATGAACAAGAAACATGGTAATAATCATTTTCAAACATGGAAGTATTGATTTTAATTAATATTGCCTTCAGAGAGAGGACAATGACTACAGAGAATTAATTTATCTTGGAGGCTTGGTTTATTAGAAATAGAAACAATATCACCATAATTCCACACCACATATTTACCCTGGTATTTTCCTCTTAGGGTTTCTTTCCACTTGCAGTTGCTAGGTCATCACAGTTGCACTCCCTGGCCTTATAGTTTAAGCCCATACCTATTAGGCATCATCATCTTCCCTATTCTTGTTTTTCTTTTCTTTTCTTTCTTTTTTTTTTTGGTACTGGGTATTGAACTCAGGGGTACTAAGCCACTGAGCCACATCCCCAGCCCTATTTTGTATTTTATTTAGAGACAGGGTCTCACTGAGTTGCTTAGGGCCTTGCTAAGTTTCAGAGGCTGGTTGAACTTGTGATCCTCCTGCCTCCTGAGCTACTGGGATTACAGGCGCGCATCACTGCGCCTGGCTCATCTTCCCAACTCTTTAGAAAAAAAGTTTAATGTTTTTTTTGTTTTTGATTTTGTTGTTGTTGTTTAAGAAAGTAAGAAATGTGTTCAAATGAAAACTTGAATGAAAGTGAAATTGATTTGTTCGATTCTGTTTTTAAAGATATGAATCATTTATCAATATTCAAAAGTCAAAGGTTTGTTTTGTTTTTAATCCCTACCAGAACAGACAATGTCCTCTACTGGAAAAGGAAAAAAAGAACATTTGGAAAGGTCTCTGTATATCTTTGTTTATAGGCATCAGGTTTCCTTAGAAACTCATCAGTTAGGCTTTGCCGTTAGAGTTCCAATACTGGAAGAAAAAAAAACACATTTGTGTTAAATAATAGGGTTAATCTTACATCTATACTAAGCTGAAAATCAAAACTATTTTCTATCACCAACATACATTTTTATTTTATCATATTTTTCAGTCTCTCTCTATACCTAGTATTCTAAATATGGAAAGTTGAATAAAATGGCCCATATCATCTCATTTGGGGACAATGATTTTGGTACAAATTTATTCAGTACTTTAACCTTACAAAAATAATTGACAGCCTTGAGCCTCTTACACTAGCCCCCTCTACATTATGTAGTGCTCCTTTCACATTTACCTTCAATAAATCTGTGCTTTGCATTTTAAAAACTAAACTAAACTAAGCTAACAACAAACAAAATTTAAAAAATTGATATAGATAAAATATAAGCTTTCTCCTTGATTTTTTTTTTTTGGGGGGGAGTTAATAGTTATGGTATTTATTCCATTTGTTTAGCAAATTTAACTCAAACTTTTAGCATAATGTTAATGATTCTAATTTAATTAGGTAATCTAAACAATTTTATTTTTTCTTTTTTAATTATTTTTTAAAAATTTATGTATGACAGCAGAATGCATTACAATTTTTATTACACATATAGAGCACAATTTTTTATATCTCTAATTATATACAAAGTATATTCACACCAATTTAGGCCTTCATACATGTACTTTGGATAATAATGTCCATCACATTCCACCACCCTATGCCCCATTCCAACCCCTCTGCCCTATCTAGAGTTTGTCTATTTTTCCCATGCTCCCCCTTCCTACCCCACTATGAATCAGACTCCTTATATCAGAGAAAACATTCAGCATTTGGTTTATTGGGATTGGCTAACTTCACTTAGCATTATCTTCTCCAACACCAGCCATTTACCTGCAAATGCCATTATTTTATTCTCTTTTATTGCTGAGTAAAATTCCATTGTATATATATGCCACATCTTTTTTATCCATTAATCTATTGAAGGGCATCAGGTTGGTTTCACAGTTTAGCTATTGTGAATTGTGCTGCTATAAATATTGATGTGACTGTGCCCCTATAGTATGCTGTTTTTAAGTCCTTTGGTATTGACTGAGGAGTGGGATAGCTGGGTCAAATGGTGGTTCCATTCCAAGTTTTCTAAGAAATCTCCATACTGCTTTCCATATTAGCTGCACCAATTTGCAGTCCTACCATCAATATATGAGTGTACCTTTTACCACATATCCTCTCTAACACTTATTGTTGTTTGTAATTTTGATAGCTGCCGTTCCAACTGGAATGAGATGAAATCCTAGAGTAGTTTAGATTTGCATTTCTCAAATTGCTAGAGATGATGAACATTTTTTTCATATATTTGTTGATTGATTGTGTATCATCTTCTGAGAAGTGTTTGTTCAGGTCCTTGGCCCATTTATTGATTGAGTTATTTGCTTTTTTGGTGTTTAGCAGAGAAAGTAGGCCCTAATCTCCATCATGTGGGATTAGGCCCCAATTTATTTAATAAGATTTCTTTTGGTGCAAGAATTAAAATCAAGAATCAATAAATGGGATGGACTCAAACTAAAAAGTTTCTTCTCAGCCAAACAAACAATCTGTGCAGTAAATAGAGCCTACATCCTGGGAGCAAATTTTTACATATCAGGTACAGCACTATTTTCCTTGATCTTTCATGTTCATTCAAGTAGATCTGATCTTCTCAGAGAGCCCTACTGTGTTCAGAGTAACTTTTGCACTGGATTCAAAAATCTTCATTGACTTTGTATGTTCCCCCAAATAAACCTGAAACTCCTTTGTTTCATAATCAAGGCTTCGATTATCATCAAAAGAAGCTGTTTTTCCATTTTTATTTCCGACAATAAAACCTACTTTTTGGACACATTAAATTGTATTCCATTTTCCAAAGCACTTTTTACTTTCCAATAGCTGAGCTTTTCTTTGGGTTATTTCTCCTAATGGGCATGGAATTCCTCCCTTTGCTCTTCCAGTTACTATCCTATCTTGACCTTGCTTGGAATGTTACCACTGCTCTTGAAGCATGTGGTGATGTTTGAAATTTTGGGAAGCACATCATTGGAGAAATTCTGAGTTATTTAGTTCTTGTGTTTCTGGTTGGCAACAAACTTACATTTTCTAAATTGCCAGCAAGATAGTTCAGAGGGAGTTTTCTCATTTTTAAAATGACACATTTCCACCTGAGAGAAGGGCTTAATAGAAGTAAGAGCCAATGGAAAAATACTGCTTTATTTTATGCAGGATTTGTCATCCTCCCATCATCTATCTCTAATATCTTGCTGGATTGGTCAGCAGGTGAAATCTTTCAAAATTTCTGCTGATTATTCCACTTTTTCTTCTGGGAAATCTAACACTGCACATGGTTCCAGCAAGTATTTACAATACTCATTCAGATCTGGAGAAAATCCTTGCTTAATCTTCCCACTCAAATCATCAGCTCTGTATTTATCAACAGGATTCCTACCAAGCATATCACTTCATTTTCATTTTAGTTTAATTCAGCAGATTGAGCTTCAAAAATAGAGTATGTTAAGGCATCTACTGAACAGTGAATTGAAGAACAGATGCCTGGAGACCCTAATGTTGGAACACAGTTGTGTTTCATAGGGTGCATATTGACTGTATCTTTCAATTCACTACTGGAATCAACTAATTTTGTCTGGTTTCATTGAATGTTCCAAAGATAGTAATTGATCGAGAAATGAGAGGATAAAATATGAAAATATAGGTGTGTGATCAGTAATACCATCATAGCCCCAAAATGTATCAATGGTGCTACAATGACAACTCTTTAATCTTCAACACCTGCAAAAATTTATCAGTACAATTGATATCTCACACTATCCTAAATGTCATACTAGGGCCAAGTACTTATATTATAACATACAATGTTATAGTCTTATAGTAAGAAGTCAAGTTAGAGAATTTGCTTGGGATTTGGTTTAGCAATATTAAATTATTATTATCTTAATAATAAATGATGATTTAGTATTTTAAATTTCCTTCATTTTATGAGTATTTTATAAACCATGTGTTTTGTAGAATAGTCATATATTTAGAAATATAAAGTCAAAATTAATTTATAAATTATGTATAGAATGAACTAGTTTCGTAATACAGTAAAAATGTATTCTAGGACCATCAATGTTCTGTTTGTACAGTACATTTATAAGTGTATTTCTTGGGGTCAAAGAAATTCACAATGTTTTGTAAACTTTCAGAAACCACTTACATTGCATGTTGATATACAAAAAAGATTGTATGTTTCAGCATTGTGTGTATTCAAAAAGGATAAAAATGACTCATAAAAATGAGTCAAGAAGCCTTTTCTTTTTTGCTTAAAATATTTATCATGTGTCAGAACCTACCTCTTTAATGTTTAACTAGAAACACAAATTTGTTTCTACAAGGCCTAACAAATTCTTATGACTCAATGATAATAAGCTTCAGTGTTATCAGCCATTTTTTAATTGTTTTTGTCAATTCATTGTAATTGTGTCTTCATGAGCACTTTTTTTTATCTTGTGTGTTCTAATAGTTACGTGAGCAGGAGTGATATATAAAACATTTAATAGGTGCAAAGGCATGAGAAATAACCAATGGCCATGTTTTCCTTGACTTGTGCCTGGGATGTCCAATCAATCAGAAGCATCATTGTCATAAAAAGCCAATGTGTTTGACTAGTTGTGTCTAGCCCTGCTCTGAAGTGGATATTCTACATTGCAATTTGGGTGATTAGAAGCACAATGACAACAAACTAAGTTCCCTAATGTCTCCCAAAGAATACAAATTCTTAATTTTGGAACCTAATTGTAAAAGGATAATTTTGTGACTTGTTGTTTATTTCTGGTTCTTTCATTAATCTTGGCTCTATTCGGGGTGGGGGGACTGTTGACTAATTTAAGGCTTTTTTGAATTATGAGTGTATTACGTATAATTTGGGAGACGCTACTTTCCATCAGCTGTGTCATACATATGATTTGGCTGTTCTGAAGAGTCTCATCAGGAAAGTTTTAGTCACAGGATGAACACCTGTAGTTTTATTAATAGCAAACTTATACTCATCATATTCTGTGATCACTGGAGATTATCATGCCTTACATTTTTCTTACTCTTAAGATGTTAACTTTTAAATTTGATCAGACAGTAAGAAATGGTACAATAATTAGAAATTCAACAGTTATAAACAGAAGCATTCACGTGTCTCACTACAATCTTCTCTTCTAACTTGTGACAATTTCTCTTGTGCTGATTTAAATTTTATTTTGTATCATCATGTAGGATGTAATCATTGAAGTATTTTAATGACATTAATAGGACTGCAGGAGACAATTGTGAGGAACTAAACATTTGACAATAATCTAGTAATCCAACCAGACAATTATTTGGTTGGATGAAAATATTAGAAATTGCAAATGAGTCTTATCTGATCATTTGGTTGCACTTGCTCTTTTAAGTAGGCTTGGGAAAAGTAATGAAGCATTTCAGGCAGTGGTTCTCAAACCCACCTTCAAAAAACTAGAGGAATTTGAGGAACTTTGAAAAAATTTTGATATCCAAGCCATGCCTCAAAACAAAAAACTTATTCAGGATTTTTTGAGACATAAATTTAGAGTAACAGTATATCCCTACTATGAATTAAATTGCATTTGTTCAAATTATAACATGATTAGAAACATTAAGGCAGTGTTCTCAAACTTTCCTACACATTAGAGTCAAAAGAGGAATCTTTAGAAGCTACTAGTACCTGAGTCTCCTCTCAGGTACTCTGATTTAATTAGAAGATGTATGACAGGAATGTTGTTTTTGTTAAACCTTCCTAGATGATACCAATGTAAAACAAACTCTGAAAAATACTATTAAGGTGCCTCTTCTTTATCAATATGCATTGTTATTTTATAATAATTGCATATAAAAATAAAAAGTCTAAACAATAGCCATAGAGATCTCTAAAAAAAACAGAAAAAGGAAATGTTTAGAATGATATATTTCAGATCTATCAAATTTGAGTATTGCTTCAGGTATGGTGCACAAAGCACTTGCTCTTTCAGAAATCTATTTTGTCCACATAGATGGGGTTGTTTTTTAAAAAATATTATTTTAGCACATTTGTAATATAAATTATGTAGAAAATTGGAAATATTGAGAGCTGCCAATGTTAAAAACAGACACAGTGCCTAATTTTTATTGCCAGTTGTTCTGGATTATTATTTTCACTTTCTTGATTTGAAACTTTAAAAGTAGATTCATGTTTGCTAATGCCAGTGGGTGTTCCTTTTCAAAAAATGTTTTGGCTTATTTTTTTAAAAGCCCTATCAACTCCAATGTCATTCAGTAATGGGAAAAAAAACAGAATTTTTTCAATTGTTCTCTGTTGGCAATTTGGACATGTGGATAAGCATTAAAGCTTGCCATGCATTTTTTTAGTTGTTTTTGAAGCCCTCATATTTTCAGAGGTTACATTTTATTTTATTTTGTTTTGGTAAAGCAATATTGAGCATGCAAAAGAAAGGAGTGATTTGCCTGAACTCTACTACTCTTGGTCAAAATAGATTTACGTTCTTGACATAAAATCTGATCCTCCCAGTGAATAAGCAGGGTGAAAGAAATCAATAAATTTGCAATCACTGGATGATCATTGAAGATTTAGAATGTATAATTATTTGAGCAGCAAAGAGGAACTGCAATGTTTTTTGGCAATGAGCAAGCTGAGAATACATAGCAACAAAATGTGAGAATGTCAGCAGCATCACAGGTATGTAAGAGGGCCGGGATCTTTAAAACCATTAATACTTTCAAAATAATAATAATTCCTTTTAATTTTTGGTAAGACTATCAGTGTCATTTCCAAAGTCTTAAGAGACTTTCAAGATCCATTTTCAGTATGGTCTCAAAATTTGGTTGACTTATACATTTGGAAGACATGGAAAGATGGCAGCCTTAAGTAGAGGAGGATACCCTGTCACTTATTATTCCTGGTGACTTAGCTAATCATGGCTAGTTGTTGAAAGTTGAAGGAGAACTTGCATATAGCTGAGAACTTTTAAGTAGAAGTGCCATAGTTGAAGGTCTTGGTGGATAAAGCCTGGAAAAATCCTGATAGTTAAGAAAAAGTCAGTTAGTGCTAGGGGAATCTGAAGCAAAGTTTACAGATGGAGCTATCATATTGAGGTTGGGTAAGGAAAAAAGAGTGAGTTATTCTGTGTAAAGGTTTACTGGGCACATGGATGGGGTGATACTCTTTAACTTTGTGAAAACTATCCCTAAGCAGAAATAGAAGCACTGGTGGGAAATTAAAATACCCACCTGAGAATAACAGACACATCTTGCAACTTGAGAATAGTGTGGTCTCAATACAGCTTCTTAGATTTCTTCCCAATTTCTCCCATTTCTCAGTCCACCTCTAAATGAAAGGTACAACAGCTGAACATCTGTATTGAGAAGTTCCACACAAATTAATCTGAGCTGGTAGAGACATCTAAGCTCTGTGCAAGCCATTCTTAGTTCATATTAACTCCTGTGAAATATTTTGTTGAATAAAGTAGAATAAACACTACAGACGGTCCCCAACTTAATAATTTGACTTTGTATTTCTCAACTTAAAATGGTGCAAAGCAATACATATTCAGTAGAAACTGTGTTTTAAATTCTGAATTGTTATCCTTTCTTGGGTTAGTGATATTGTGATGCTGGACAGCAGCAATGATCCACAGTTCCCAGACAGCTATTTGATCCCAAGGATAAACAACCAATGCTCTATAGTGTACTGTATTGCTAAGCTATGATGTCAAGTAGGTTAGGAGAATTTAATGCATTTTCAACTTAAAATTCTTTCAAATTGTGATAGGTTTATCAGGGCATAACTCCCTTTTCAGTTGAAGCACATTTATACATATTCTTTCTTTTTTGCAAACTTAACTGTGAACTTATGTTTCTATTACAAAGAGTGTTGCTATTATCATACTCACAGTTCTCCTCACAGAATGTCTTTAAGGCAAATGCCTAAGAATAAAATAAGTAGACTGTATATTATGCCTACCTTCATCTGTACTAGATATTTCTAAATTGCTTTTCAAGTGGTTGTACTAATTTGAACTTCAATTAGCAGTTTATTATAGTTTAAATTGTTTCATATCACTTCAAACATTTTATTGCCAGACTTTTGAATGTTTGCTGTTATGTGGTTGTGGTTTTTGTTTTAATTTCTGTGATTACTAGAGAAAAATGAGCTTTTATAAATTTGTGCATCACAAGTTTGATTGTCTCTTATGTGATTTTTTTTGTCTCTTTATTTTCCTAAAAGACTTGTTTCTTCCTGACAACATTTTTGTATATTTTATCTAAAACAAGGTTAAAATCATATAGATTTCCTATAACTATCTCTTCTTATTGCCTTTTGATGTCCACTTTACTGAATTCTTTAATAAGAAAACTCTATATTTCACTTTATGTTTGAGTGAATTGTCACCTACATGTATTATTCTGTTCCAGCCTCTTTTGAAAGTAAGTTAACCATGAGTTTAAGTTTTGTCTAATGACATATAAGCAAATATGCTGAATGAAAATTATAGATCTCTCTCTTAGCTTCTAGTTAATATGGAAATAGAGAAGCAGTATCAAAAATAAAACAAAACAGAACCTAAAACTGAATTCATAAAATAACAAAGTAATTGTTTTCTGTTTTGAGACATTTAGACATCAGACAAAAGAATTATGACCTCAAAGAGAATAGAAATAAAAAAGTATAAGAGGTAAGCAAAATAATTTTCCTAGGTTTTTATCTGGGAGCACATTTTAGACTTTGGTGTAGGGGAGGAAAATTCAGACAAAAATCAGCTATCTCACTGAACTGAAAAAAATGGAGGTTGGTGGACCCCTGGAATTTATATGAAATAGTTCTAAAAAGAAATGATATATGAAGAAAAAAATTCTAGAACTATTGCATGGGTGTTCCTCAAATCATCAATTGAATATTAAACTTCGCATGCAAGGGTAATACATTAATAGGCAAAGAACGATTATTGGGAACACTAACTAGAACAACTTCAAAACAAAATGTTCAGCAATAAAATGTCACAAACTACTGATACACACAAAATACTAATAAGCCTCAGAAATGTTAAGTGAAAAAGAAACAAACACAAAAGAATACATGAAATATGATCTTATTTATATGGAATTCTGGAATGGACAGTATTAATCAATAGTATTGATAAATCAGATTGGTATTTACTTAGAAGTGAGGGATGAAGTTATTGACTAGGAGGAGGCATAAGACACTTTTTGGAATGAGGAAAATTCTCTAAAATTGAGTGTGGTTGTGATTACATAAATATATACATATGTCAACATTTATTGACTTGAAAATAATAAGTGCATTTTACTATATGGAATTTATACTAATATAAGTAACTTTAAAAACAAGAAAAGTATAATTTATGTCTCCTTCTTTTTCCATTTTACTTGGAATTAGAATGTGATAACTGGAACTTTTAATTCTTTTAATTCTAGCTATAAGGACAAAATCTATTTCCTAAGGATTGCTGAAAATGGGCATGTGGACTCTTAGTTCCCGACAGTGATGTGGATTCCCCAAGAAATACTGCATTCTTCATTTCTAAATTTTTATGTGTGAGAAAATGAATTTATACTTTAAACAAGCTCCTATGTTTAATGTTTTGCTTCTTGAAGCTGAATGCAACAGTGATTGATGTATATCACTTCAAGGCAGAAAGAGTTTATTATTTAAGGAAATTAAATATGTGTTGTAATTTATTACCTAGAATATTAGAATTTAAAAGAACAAAATTTATAGATTTTAATTAAGATAAATAGTGCAATCCAAGTAATATGCACCCAGAGTAGTCTAAAGTAAAGACTAAAGAAAGATATTTTTCAACATACAAGTGTTCAGAGTAATCTCTATAAGGAGATTATTAATTAAAATATAACAAATTTTCAAGATATGGGAAGAAAAATATCATTATAAATAATGGTGAAAATATATGTTGTGTTAATAATATATGAATATGCATGAATATTTAATGATAATACCATTGGGCATTGGGAAAATGTGTTAAATGAATATTATATACATATATAAGAGAAGAAATAAAAGCTTAGATCAAAAGTTACACTTTTATTATTAACTTCATTTGGAAAATTTAAAAAATGATATGAAGTTTTCATCTGAATAGTGAAGAGAAACTAGATAAACAAAGCATAATTCATGGGTAATTGTTTAAATTTAATGTTAATAGTAGGGAAATATAGGCCTAATATTCCTTCAAAGTTAGAATGATAACAATCGACAAATGGAGATACATGATAGAACTTCCAAATCAATGTGGATGTGAGTGATGAAAAGAAGTTTTTCAATTGATCAAAGTAAAGTATAAAACAAGAAGTTTATAATATAATAAACGAAGTTAAATGAAATAATTATAAGGAATATGAGTGAGTTAATTTTCTTAATAAACTACAAGCACAGTTAATTCTTGAGCAGCATAGATTTGAATTGTGCAAGTCCATTCATATGCAGGTGTTTTTTTTTGGGGGGGGTGGGGTGATAATTTGAAAAAACTCAGACTCTTATATTCTAGATATATCTAAAATTTTAAGAAAAATTTAGATATGCTATAAATTCATAATATACATATAATCATCTACTTTATTATATTCTACCATAAAATATCCACCAATGTATCATGAAAAGCTAAAATTTATCAAAAATTTGGCACATACTTTCGGAATATTCAAGGTATCATTTACTGTCCAGAGAAATGTAAACAACATAAAGATGCAGTATTGTCACTACATAAAATTAAGTGTATCACATACTGTACTACTGAAATAATTTCAGAGATACCTCCTGTTGCTACTGTGGAAACTCAAGTGTTGAAAGTAGCCAATTAAAATGTATGAAGAATTGAAATATTGTGCTCCATTTGTAGACAATTAATTGAAATGCACTCTGCTGTCATGTATAACTAAGTAGAACAAATAAAAAAATAACAATAATTAAAAAATGAAAAAGCCTAGTGAAGGTCAGGGGAGAGGAGGTGATCCCCGGAGACAAAAAGAAAGCCTGCTTATAAGCTCTGCATAGAACAGCCTCCAGAGGTTTGGATGTTGCTCCACCCAACTATCCAAGGAAGGAGGTGCTTTTAATTCTAAGAGCAGAATAAGTTCTGGAACTTGCAGTGGAACCTAGACATAGAAAGAGGGGTGGTCTGTGCAGGCAGAGAGCCATTTTGTCATTAAAATTTTGAGTTCAGATTGTCTGTCTTCTAATATTTTTCCCAAATCTATCTCAAACTCTCAAACACTAAAAAATGCATATATGCATAGGAATACACTTCCCCAAGCAACCATAAAAATAAATTAATTGATTAATTAAATAAGATGTATGGGACACTAATCATCTCTGTGAGAAGTTTTTTTTTTTTTTCCCCAATAAATTACAGACCACAGCACAAAGTGGTCTTTCTTGGTTCTAATGTGTTATTTAACATATGTAATACACATAACATATATGTGTGAATCAAATTTACATCATCAGTGAGGCTATTGATTGACCCCAGGCTGTTAATAAGTTTCTGGGGAGTCAAGAGTTACACACAGATTTTCCACTGCACTGAGATTGGCACCCCCAAGCCCTCCATTGTTCAAGGGTCAGTTTTGATTTAAAATAGTCTAAGGTTGTCAAAAAAAAAAGTGGCTAAGTTCTGATCTTCAGTGTTGAGACATACACAGGTAGAAAGAGATGTCACTCAATTTCTCAGCTAATCCCCATAAATTAAATTAACGTCATCCTAAGACATCTAGTTTCTAAAGGCTTATTTCCACTCTTATCTCTCTTCCCATACTAATAGCACATTACGTCTATTATAATATTCCTCTACTGTGGGTGTGACAAGTATGAATTTAGATTGTGACCTCCTGAATGACAGTCTTATACATATTAATAGTTCAATAGAGGTCTATTGTATAGAAAACCTATCCCTCTCTTTACAATTCCTTTGTGTGATTACTTTTGTCATATTTCTATCATTTATAGAAACAAATATAGTATTTTGTCAAAGAAGTATTTGACCTAAGAAGATTGTTGAATAAAATTCATTTATAAATATGTCATTTCAAGTACAGGAAATACTGTTATAAATGTCAACCTAAAAATGAAGCATCAGAGGTGATGAGGAAAATAGCATTCATGTCAAGCTCTAATTATTGCTTACTTCGTTCATAGACACCTCTTTTGTTATAATCCATGTATAAGAGGCTCTTTTGTTCGACCAAAATTCTAGGTAAACTAGCTATCTCCTTTTCCAGCTCACAGAATATTTGAAGATGAATATTTTTTAAAAAGTTGTAATGTAATAGGATTTAAAAAGTAAATAGCAGGTACACATGTAGCAATGAGAAAAGATTTTTAATTGTATGAATGTGAAAAAAATAGAGAAACAGTCATATATATATATATGTATATATATACATAAAACAGTTTTAG